ATGATCTAATTACATAAGGTGACAAAGTTTGGTTTCATTTGTAGCTTGGTTTTTCTTTTTTCTGCCAACGAAAGAAACATTGATATTAAGAACCATAAGCAAAGTCTCAAAGTAGTCTGATATTCGAAACTAACAAAAGAAAAAACAGAAAGAAAACAATCACAAAGGAGTGGGAGTCTCACAACCCAATACAGAAGCTAATCTCTCTTAAATAAAGTTTTGGCCACTCAATTAGCAACTTGATAATTTTTTTTTTGGGAACTCAACTTGACATGGTTTAAATAGGATAGACAGAGTAGGTTGAACTCGTTCATTAACTCTTTGTTGGGGATTTGAATTATACATGCTCATGTACTTTCAATTGTATTTGTTTCTTATGTATTTCATGTTTTCAACTTGATTTCAAGTGAGGCCACTAAAAGATTTTTTTTTACATGAAATTAATATTGATTAAGTCACCTAAATTATATATAAATTTTAAGAGACTAATGTTATATTTACTCATATAGTGATATAGAGTATCAAAGTATCATTTAACCAACTACTTTAATTATTGGATGGATGTCAACAATCCTGATAAATAATTAAAAAATATTATACTCTATTTGTTTTATCTTTGATTTTTTTTTCTCAAAGTTTTATCTTGTGTTAAAGTGCTAATTTATCCATCAATTGTTTTTTTCTTGTGTCCTAGGCATCCTCAAGTTAAGGGTGGTGTTAGGAGTGTTCACAAGATAGGATGGGATTACCTGTCTTGTGTCTCATTTAGAAAAAAGATTAGGATTGAATTTTTATCTTGTATTCCATCTCATTCCAAAAGTTATCTCGTCCTGTTAAGAATCGAAATGAGACCTAAATGAGATTGGGACATCTTGCCACGACAAATCAGACAAGATAGGAGAAAAGTCTGGATAATAAATAACAACAACAACAAGCCTTATCTTACTAAGTGGGGTTAGCTATATAAATTATACAATGCCAGTATGTTCTATCATTTATCAAGTTTTTAGAAATATTATTAATTAAATGGTGTGGATAATAACATTTATTAAAATTTTAAATAACATAATCTATTAAGTTTAAAATTAAAATATGAGTACATAAATGATAACAATTTAAAGTTAATTATTGAATTATATCAATTACAATTACAAGTGTACACACATTATTATAGTAATTATAAATAATCTCTAAGCTATAAGAGCAACAATAATATATAAGTCAAGGACAACGTGAAGTCATTATTCTTCTTCTTTAGTTGAGATATGCTAAGTTGATAACTTTTTTAAAAATAAAACAAGACATACGATAAAAGCAAAAGCTATTAAATAGATAGGTATAAGAATAAATTATATTAATATAATTAATACATCATGAAGAAAGATATTGCCCTGTACTACTTATTCTATATCATTAAAATTATCAATATAAAAATAAAAAAAAAATAATAAAATTCCTTTGAATTATGTACATAATATTTTGGTCTCTTAAAATGTTATAATTTCTCTAAAGTCCTCAGAGACTTTTTTATCATTAAAGAATTAATATAAATAACTAAATTGCCTTTAGTTCAAGATTTCAAATGTGAACTTATGAATTGCTGTTGTATTCTTGTGATTTAAAAGAAAAATTTGTGAATGTTAGAACAAAACTTGTAAATGAAAATTGATATTTGCAACACTTGAGGAATATTATAATTTCAAATGTAAACTTGCAAATTACTATTAAATTCTCGTGATTTTAAGAAGAAAAGTTGTGAATCTTAGAACAAAACTTATAAATAAAAATTGATATTTGAATTAAGGATAATTTGATCATTTATATTAATTCCTTAATGATAAAAAAGTTTCTAGAGATTTCAAGAGAATTATGGCATTTTAAGGGACTAAAATATTATTTATATAATTTAAAAGGATTTTATTGTCATTTTCCCTATAAAAAACTTTTATTTTTAAATAAAATATATACATATTGAAATTATAATTAACATAATTATTATAAGTATAAATTACATAATATAATTAACATATTTAATGGATATTTTTAAAATAATATATATATATATATATATAAAAATATTTGGGATAGGATGGGACGTCTCGAGGGCATTCTCATATCTTTTTCTATCCTAAACCTCTTTCTTGTCCTGTTTTATAAAGTTTCATTTCGATTGTTTTTGGGTTGGGATGAGATCCATCCTAATGTGAATAGGATGGAATCGGGCCAATGGAAATGGCTACAAGTTGAACACCCTTAGGTGGTGCAATATTTCTTCATAAGTATTAAAAATGGAATAATGTTGCCCCTCTTTTAAATATCCGTTAATTTATCTTATAATTTACCTAAAAAAATATAGAGAAGAATTCTTAAAATTACAAAAATGACAAAATTAATACAAACTTACTCCCATACCTACATTATAAATGAATTCTAACAAACTAATATTATTTTCTTACCATTTAAACTGACTAATTTGACCAATGAAAACATTGGTAAATAATTAAAAAATATTATACTTTGCATGGGACATACTTCAATTTAATTTTATTAATTTTGAAGGATGTACTCATCCTCAAAGTACTTGTACTTTTGGGTGCAGCTAATCTGAATCCCCAATTCACATTCTTTGAGATTGCAAAGAAGCTTGTATTGTCTGGCTCAATCTTGTTAAACCTTTTAAACTTAATATGTTCTTCTCTCTTTTTGTGCAAGATTGGATAATTTAAAATATAAAAATCAAGGCCGACAACTCAAATATTAGAAGAATTCCTTAGTAAAGGATTTTTGCTCAAGTTTGTTGAAACATTTGGAAGGCATGTTGTAAACAAATTTATTCTCATGAAACCAACCACAACACAAACATTACCTTTTCTAGCACCTAATAAGTTATCAATGATGTTAGGCTCCAATCAAGGGACAATATCCTTAACTATAAAGGCAAGGGATTTGAGGCACAATGGAGACCCCCTAAAGCATGTTGAATCTATCTTAATATTGACGGGTCTGTCAAATCTAATGGAGTTGCTACCTGTTGAGGTGTCATAAGGGATGGCAAAGGCAATTGAATTAAGAAATTTTTCAAATATCTTGGCTACTAACCCAACATTATGGCCAACATTTTAGAAGGTATTCAACTTTATTGGAACGCGAGATTTACTAAAATCAATAATCATTTTGATCCCGTTGAAGCCCTTTCACTTATTCAGCATAACACCTCTAACAATCATCCTTTATCAAAAACTATCAAGAGAGTCAGACATTTTGTCATAAAATAATTGGATAGCTACCTTCGAACACATGTTCAAGGAAGCAAACAAATGCGCTGACATGCTTGCTTGCCAGGCCTCCCAAGATAATTTAAATATTGTTTTTTTAGTCATATGCTTTTGGGCTTTAGATCCCTCATGGAATTTGATATAACCTAATTTCTATACTCTTTTGCACGGTTATTTCATGGCTTTATATTCAAAAAAAATATTATACTTTTTCTTAATAACCTCTTATTGAATATTAAATATTTTATTTAATAATTTAAAATGTCATTATTATCTATAAATATTCCTCTAATTTTTTTTTTCAAAAATTAACCACTTAACACACATTTATGAGATTCATAAGAGAATGTGTTTTTCACACTAGTTAAATTGTAAATTAAAATAATGTGATAAATTATACTTCCTTCGTTTAAAAATATAGGATATTTTTAAAGAATTAGATGTTAAAAAATGCAAGGTATTTTTAGTATTTTGAGATATAATTATTGCCTTTTTGTCAAAAGTACCCCTATTGATAGTGACTTTATATTTATTATCGAGTATTTAATAGGAGTAAATATGAAAAGATAGGATTAATTTGAAAATAGGTAATTATTTTATTAGGGGTGAGATTCGGTTAAAAATGTTTTATATTTTTGAACGGAGGGAGTGAGTTTTTATCTAAAATTACAAGTCCTCTTTTAGAAACTTGTGTATCTTAAAAGTTGACTTTTAAATTGTGTGTAAAAAAATTAAAAATTATAATAATATTTAAATTATTAAAATTTTATTAAAAATGTAATTTTTAAATTTCTTCTTAATTTTGTTGCTAGAATTAGTGATTTGATAATCATCTTGTAATTGATGGAAGTGGTTGGTTGATATAGTATTTTAAGCTTTTTTATGAGTAAGAAATAACATTAGTATATTAGAATTTGTTTGTAATTTAAATGATTTAATTAGTATTAAATTTCTCATAAGATTCTTTTCTATATTTTTTGAATCTTTTTTTATAATTTTTGTCAACTAATGATTAAATTAATAAATATTTAATAAAGGAATGATATTGTCCTATGTTTCATACACGAGGGAAATACATTGTATCACCCAACTTGAGGGTCACTTGAAGCAAATTAGGGATAATTTATTAATTTGACGCTTTAACCCGTTTTATTTCTTTTAAAATATACGCCTTCTCAATTTTTTTATTATATTCACATAATTTAAAAGGAGCTATATTTATGGTGCTTCATATTTATTTATTTTTAAGGTAAGTACATGTCACCACATTTATTATCTCCAATCCTCTGAACAACCTGCTCCATGAGCGAGTATATTTTGTCCATTTGCACTTTAGTTTTATAATAATTGCATTTGTTTTGTCCAGTGTTAATTAAAAAATGTTACTCCCTCCCGTCATGTTTTATATATATATATATATATATTCTTTTTTTGCCAGAAAAGAACCTCCCATCATGTTATAACAATGCACTTTTAGAATAAGAAAAAATAATTAAGTTATTAATTTTGTTTTAAAATAAAATAAATTTTTTATTTTATTTTTATTTAAATAATTTTTTTTAAAAAAGAGTACTACTTAATTTTAATAAATAAGGACTAATGAATTGAAAAGGTGAGGACAGAGACAAGAAAGAAAACGACCAGTTCCAACAAATGGGATCAAAACCCAACTGGAACACTGCATTTGGCAAAGTCCCAATGGTCTCTCGCCCACCAATCACACGCCCTCGTCTTTCAAACACGTGAGCAAGCAACTACGCTCTTCTCGCTCTCTTTCTTGCTCCCTTCAAAGTCTCTTCTTCCACGTTTTTCAATCAATTCAATTCAATTCCGTTTCCATCTTTTTCTTTGCCCTTGAGTTTGATTTCATCTTCCTCTCCTCCTCCGTCCTCTTCTCTCTGCTTTTTACCCATCTTCATCACTCCTTATCTTTACTTCTTCACAGGAGCCTAACGGTAAATCCATTCACGCCAAAAAGACACTTTTTGTTTGAATCTCGAGAATCCCAAAACGCACAGCTCAGATTTGCTGCCAATTTCGACGGATTAAGCAAAGAAAATGCCGTCTCATATCCTGCCCATTACAAATCGACCTTCGTATTCTTCGTCTGCTTCCGCTGCCACAATGTTAATTAAACCTGCAGACGATGACCCGTCTTCGGGTCTCCTCATTTCTTCGCGATTTGAAGACGAAAGTGTTGCGAACGTTAAGCCCCTTCTCTCCCGCTCCTCCAGCTTCTCTTCTACTTCCAGTCATTCGATGGGTAATAATGCTAACGTTCACCAGAAACGACGTCGCCGTACCGCAAGTGAGAACTCCTTGTCGTCTTCCTCGAGCGGTGGAAGTCGCCGATCTTCTTTGGGCGAGGATGTTAGCCATGTTGCTTCGGAGACCTTTTTAGTCACTCGATTGGGCTTGAAGTTGTTACGATATCTTGGGTACAATTTTCCTCTCTCTCTTTTTTAACTTCGTTCCTTTATGGGCATGGGGTTCATATGCGGAAGCGGAAAAGCTTACTAGTTGAGTTGAGTGAATGATTGACATTGTATCGAATTCATCTATAGTTTTAGTGTTACGTTCAGGGATGTCATTCGTAATTCGTATAATAGATGCCACTGATATAAAATATCTTATCTTGACCCTTACGAGATAAACATCTGGTTCATTTTTTTTTTTGTTATTGTGAGTTTTCTATACTCAGTGGTCCATGGCGTTCACTCACGATCTAAGTGGAGAACTTTTATGTGTCATCGATTAGTAGTATTTTGGACTCTATGGTCCTTGTTTCCTATAGCTGAAAAAAGTACGGTTTGGGGCAGAAAAGAAGGATCAGAGTGGCAGTTAGTGTCTGAACCCATACATAGTATTCTTCTCTGGTCAAATGTTTTAAATTACTTTCCACTTTCTAGTTATGCATGGCTGCTTGGCCAACATTAATAATTTACCACGTAGGGAAAGGTAGCAATACTGGCAAAGCTTAATGAAAAATGTTGTATGCTTAAAACTTATGATGAGGAACATGACTGATGGCTACTATGCTTGATAATATAAACCGTATGTAATAGATCAAAGGTACAACTTACAAGATTATAGAATTCATTACTGGTGGCAAAAAATGTATTCTCTATCTACTGATTTTTGGTCTGCATGACTATCTTCTCGTACTTGAGTTTTACATGTTTTCTGATCATTTATTTCTTTTCAGGGTAGGCTATAGATGGATTACAAGATTTCTTTCGCTTGGTTTTTATTCAATGCTGCTCTTCCCAGGCTTTGTTCAAGGTCTGATTTCCGTGACCAATGGCATTTTTCTCATGGATATATGTCCGCTTTCTGACTAAAATGCATCAAAGTTATTCATCAATGCACTTTGTGATAGTTTTAGGTTTTTCTTTCTTCTGCTTTGTAGTTGGATTTTACTATTTCTTCTCCAGTCATGTACGCAGAAGCATAGTCTATGGAGACAAACCACGAAATAGGTAGGATTTATTCATATTTCCTTTTCTGCATTGAAAAATTCCTAGACATGGTGTAATTGTATTAATAATTTATTTTCTTTTACAGACTTGACTTGTATTTACCTAAAAATAATGACGGCCCAAAGCCAGTTGTTGCCTTTGTTACTGGTGGAGCCTGGATTATCGGGTATGTGATGTGTTGTAGTGTATCTGTTGAGTTAAATTTCCAATTTAATGAAAGTTCGTGTTAGCAGACAATGATGTTGTTTTCTGATAAAGTATTTCCTTTACTCAGTTCCAGATGCTTGCGTGGGATTGTAAAATCAAATTTTTGTCTTATTATGATAACATCTCTCATGCCAAAGGTTTGCTTTGGGGTTGTGGATGGAATTACTCTATGCTCTTCCATTAAAATCATGAATGTGACTCCTATTTAATGCCTGCTGCATCTTGATGGTAATGAGAACGTGTTCAATGTACTGTGGAGTGAGGAGCAGTGGAAGTCAGTCTCAAGACTGGTGCATGTAACATGACAATATAAAACTTGTGCAAAATAATTGTACTGTATACACCATTACCTTTTGGCGGGTGGAATCAGATTCATCTGATTTGAAGAAACTTGTGTCGTAGACAGATAGATGCGTGCACTGCTTGCTCAGTTCTTATGAGTTTTGAAGCACTCACGTTTGTGCAGCTACAAAGCATGGGGATCTCTTTTAGGTCAGCAGTTGTCAGAGAGAGATATCATGGTGGCATGCATAGATTACAGGTGATGTTGCTTATCCTTCATAATTGCAACAGTTTTTTTTTTTTTTTAATCAATGCAATTTGGCTTAAATTAAAATTAATTGCCAAAGTTGCTTAGATTGAGGTCCTACATAGGATTGGTTGAGAGGGAAAAATAAAATCATAAGATTAAGGATTATAATATCCTACTTCTAGTGACAATATATAATAGCTACGTGATATTTAATAGATAAGCATAAAACCAGCAAACGTCATCGTACTTTTACAGAACAAGTCACGAGTTTCAAAAATCACAAGCCCTCATTCATATCCTATTGCATTCTGCCCTTAAAACTGTTTTCTCATAGATATATTGTTGCAGAAATTTTCCTCAGGGGACCATGAGTGATATGATAGATGATGCTTCTCAAGGTATCTCATTTGTGTGCAACAATATTGCAGAATATGGAGGTGACCCTAACAAGTTAAGATTCAATCTCTGAACTTCGCATTTGTATTCATCATGGGCTCCTTTTTTATTCTTTCCCTGACATTTGATGTGCGTTCTTTATGATCACTGATGATTCGTTGTTTTATTTTGCTAAGGATTTTCCTGATGGGGCAGTCAGCAGGTGCACATATTGCTGCTTGTGCTCTCGTGGAACAGGCAATTAAAGAGGCTGGTGAAGGAGAGAATATCTCTTGGAGTGTCTCCCAGATCAAGGCTTATTTTGGTTTATCTGGAGGGTAAACACTTGCATAAAGTTCCTTCCCACCTTGACTTTGACTTTTCTTGTGCTTATCAATAGAGTTGCAGTTGCATCTATAATTTGAGGTGATAACCTGGACAGTAGGAACTTGAAAACCATTGTGCTCCGAAAGATCTATTCAGCAATACATTAGCTGAGTTTGATATGGAAAATTCTGCATAAGTAATTATTGACGCATGTTTTACTTGCCCAACTTTAGTTGAGAGATGTACTAAAAGAGTCCCTCCCCCCCTCTAAAGACTGATCAATGCTACTAAAGTATGCTTTTCTAATAAGCCATGTGAACGCTGATCTAATGTTTATAATGATTGGCCAAAGAAAAGAAAAAGAAATATATAGTGTGACATAAAAACATGATGTCATGATGAAGTTCCTCCATAACTGCCAATGTTATTCCTTCCAGTTTGGCTGTTATAATTGCTTTTCAATGTTGCTGCAGTTTTGTCTAGTTGATAACACAATTGTTGGGTTCTGCATTTGTCATAGATGCTTATTTTTCTAACGCATGGCTTTGGATATTTAATTTGCTATTTTCCTTTATTGAAACAGGTACAATTTGCTGAACCTTGTAGATTACTTCCACAGTAGAGGTCTTTATCGTTCTATCTTTCTAAGGTACACACTGAATAAATTTTAACTGAGTCAATATTAAATAAATACACTATTCTCTTGTTTTCATTGTGCTATTCTTTTAAACTCTGGCATTTATCTTACAGCATAATGGAAGGGGAGGAATCCCTGAGGCGGTTTTCTCCAGAATTAAGGGTTCAAGATCCAAATGTTGTGAATGCTGCTTCTCTCCTACCTCCTATAGTTCTATTTCATGGTACTGGGGATTACTCCATACCATCAGAATCCAGGTTTGGACCTCTTACCGAAGAAGTTTTTAATTATTTGATGACAAAGACGACAAAGAATTTAAAGCATTGGCCCTTGTGGTTTTGCATGGTCTTGAAATTGAACAAGAAGGTTTTAAAGGATTAGCCCTTGTTCAAATTAAAGCTCATACTTTATAGAGTGAATAATTGAGTTTTATCCTTCAAATTTGAAGGTTACTAGAGGGTTTTCATGATTTTGCTTGTGTTTTTTTCCTGTTTCTATTGTAATTTCAGTTGGAACCGTTGGGTTCCCGTTGAAGTGTACCTTTTGCTTTGTCTTTCTAATGGTGGACTATTGACATCTTCGTTTGTACAGTACATCCTTTGCTGAAACTCTTGAAAGACTTGGAGTTAAAGCTGAAGCAGTTTTATATGAAGGCAAAACTCATACTGACTTGTTTCTTCAGGTAAGGGACTACACAGCTTTCTTTCTAGCATGCCTTTCCAATTCTGTGCCTTCTGAGTGACAGCCAAGTCATTGATGTTTACTTTTGTTGCTTGACAATGTTTATATTATACCTTGAAACTCCTGAAATTATGAGATAGTGAATGTTATCTTCCTTTGCCAAGACATAGCTTCATACTATCTCGAACTTGGACCATATATTATTATTATCGTTAACCTAAAGATATGCTTGATTAGCACTATAGTTTATGGATTTATTAAAGACACAGCACTTAAACTTGATTTTTATCTCCTCATTTCTTATTTTATGGCTTCTACCAAAATTATCCCGAGCAATTTGGCATATTAGTTGTTAGTGAAGTTTCTTCTAGTTTCAATGAGCACTGATGTTTACTCATTGAGTTGATTGTTCTCTGATATCTCCCAAGATACCTTATTTCATAAGTCATTCTGGAATAATTTGAGATGCTAAAGAGGAAAGTAAATCTCACAAGACACCATTCTGATATCTAGTGTTTGTAGGGCGTGAAATTTTTGGGAACCACATAATGTATAGTCAATTGATGCAAGAAAACTCTAGAAACTTGCTATAGTGACTATGTCAGTGACAGTAAGGAGGGTGGAACTGATAGTTTTTAATCCTGTGAAGAGGAGTAAAGGAAGACTAAAGAGAATACTCAATGAAATTATTGAATGAAACTTTTTGGTTAACAATATATTCAAAGATTTGATTGTTGATGCTTTTATAAGCACAATAATATTGTGCAATTCATGTAGCTGACTTCATCTTTGGGATGTGGCTTGTTTTTATTGTAGTGATTGTGTTAGTGAGTGGCTGAGCGCCACCAATCAAGACACTTGTCCTTGAGCTTTTACTGGTTCATGATATGATTAGCTAGTGCATTTTATGTTCTCAAAGAAATTCTCCTGTAGATGCAACTGAACTAAACTTGCATATGCCTTTGGGTAGGATGATTTGGTGTTAATATTTGGTTGAGCAGGCACTTATGTGAAATGCATATATGTGGCTTTCAGGATCCAATGAGAGGGGGTGAAGATGATATGTTTAGGGATTTAGTAGGGTATATCCATGCTGATGATGCAGTGGCACGTGGCAGGGATGCAGCAGCTCCTCCAAGGAGACGCCTTGTGCCAGAATGCATGATCCGATTGGCTCGTAGAGTTAGTCCTTTCTAACCTTACCATTTGATTTGGTATGTGACATTTATTTTGTACATATAACACCATATATTGTAGCCCTCTATAAGTTTAGGGCACTCTCAGGTTATGGTCAATAACTCATTCTTCTTATATCTGAGGCCAGAATATTTTATATTCCCTGTGAGAATCAAATCTTGTGCTCAAATTTCTGTCTGCAATATATCTCTTGGCCATAAGATCATGGCAGTTTTCTTTCTTTGCGGTAAATATTTTCATTCTTTCAAAAGAACTGAGAGCATTACCCAAAAAAAAAAAAAAAAATCCTTTTGAGCAAAGGGTATAAGTTAATTAACCTTGTCAACAGTTAGTTGTCTTAGTGGCAATACCACTATCCTTGCTTGGAAGAGGTACTATGTTTGAACCCAGTATTGCATGTTTGGGCATGCGTGAGTGTGTGTGTCTAAGGCTAAGCTAGGGATAACATTTTTTAAATAAAAGTTAACTGACCTAAGCTCGAAAGCATGAAGTATATAGTTGATTCTTCCTGGTAAATATTACTTAATACAAGATATAAAATTTATGAAATAACAATAATAGATAGTAGTAGTAATATTAGTTCTATGTATGAATTTTTATTTATAACTTTAATAATTTAAACTTGTGGATTGGACACATGACTATAATATATAGTCCTCTTTTGTATTTAGCAATGTTTTGGAAACCGGATCAGCCATTGAATTAGACGAGATATTAGTTCACAGTTCAATTGTCAAATTGTGATATGAATTGTGGTTAAATGATCATGAATAAATTGATATATTTTAGTGGTATATGTTTAAAGTAAAAGGAAATGTTTATATATAATAATGAAAATGAATTATTAAATTTCAAACAAAATAAGATAAAATAAAAAGGAAATATCCATCAATATTCTATCATTTTGACCAAAAAAATATATACTTATTTTATAATTTATAATTTTAAAATATATACATATATCCATATTTTATACATATGTCTTGTATATTTTTGTTCATTTTTTCTCCATCTATCAATGCTTAGTGATTACAAATATGCATAGGTTTTAGTTATAAATATGAATTAAAATTTTTAAATAACAAATTAAAAAAATAATAGAACTAGTTTAACCAGTTTGCCTATCGGTTTTGCTGGTTTTTACTGGTGTGAAATCGGATCAACTAGCTCTGCACTAGTTCTCAAAATAAGTGACTTTCTGTTGCAACCAAACTGAATTTAGGATCGGTTCCGGTTCAATTTTTCGAGCAGTCAAGTATATTGATATTTAGTTAAAATTACATGATTCTCTATTTCTTATTTGGGAACAAATGGGGCGTTAACAAAAGGGGATAACGCCCAGTATATTATTGTAAAACTACATTAAAATTTCCCTTGGGGTCACTATCCTCTGTTGTCTTTATACACATAATTTACTTAGATATCTATTTTATTAAAATTATGAAGTCATGTCACCTACTTTAAAAATTATAGATTTTCTCTCTGATTTCAGAATTTATACAGTTCTGTTTAAAAAAAATAAAAAGAGAATCTACCTGATTTCTAAAAAAAACAGAGAGAGAGAGAGAGAGATTAATTGAGGAAGATTGGCTCTGATCTTTAAAGAATATTCTACATTTGACATAAAGATAATACCTTTAAATGACATCTTCCACAAGGAGGTTGGGTCAAATAAGACATTGATGATTCAATGGGTCAAAGGGGTGAAGCTGCTGCTACTTGTGGATTTTTTGCGTGACGATAAAGCAAAATGGATATCGAGTTTCACCAAAAAACTTGGTTACCTTCCACTCACTTCTAGTGAGGTTATGGAGATTCTTGAAGGCCTAGAATTTAGTTGGAACTAAATATGTTGTAAGATTGATGTATTTAGGGATTTAATTGAAGTGTTGCGACGCATCAGCTGTGAGCATTCCCAAAATCATCCACTAAGCAATTGGATTAGAGAAATTCATCACCTTTTAGTGCAAGATTAGATTGTTACTTTTGACCATACAATGAGATCAGTGAATTGCTGTGCAAACTGGTTACCTGGTAGTAGCCATTCACTTGATGTTGAAACACTTTCTCTGGATAATCCTTCTATGAAGTATAGAGAATTAATGTTGCATGATTTCTATCAAGAATACATTAGTTATGTAGTTTCATTTGCATGTTTTCGTGGCGCATATATTGAAAAAATTAAATAGAAAACGCTGGGGTAATTATTTATTTATTTTCAAGAGAAGTTTGAGATAGTTTTTGGCAATGAAAGAAATTGGCATTATTTACCAAAATGTAATTTGTGTATCCTTCAAATTTAAAATATTTTCATGTGAGGAATGTACTTGTGAAATAGTTATTGTGCAGTCATACGAGACTAATTCAAATAAGTCGATTGAATTGATCTGTAGTGTGAGTAAAGATGAAAAAACTGATTTTGAAAGTATTATTTTTAATTGGGTGTGACAATGCTCAAATATGATTGAGAGTTAGAGATATATATATATATATATATATAAAATAAATCTAACATTCAAACCCTTCTAATATAATAAAAAGGAAAATATTGTATATTTAACCTTATATGATGAAGGGCGCTTGTTTTAATTAAATCAAAATATAGAAATCTTTTTATAGATTATTTATTCTATAATAAATTCTTATTACTGATATTATTAATATATTAAAATTCATTTGTTTTACTTAGGTTGAAAAAAATTATATTAGGTATATAGGTCTAAGAAATTAAGTAAATCTTACCAAATAAAAAAATATATATCTGCATTTGAAATATATATATATATATACCCTACAAATTGAGAGCAAACGCCACCTTGTTTATCAATGGGTTTTATCCTTCCATCTATACCATTCTGCACGTTGTCTCCCAAACAACCAAACAACTTTCCCAATATAGTATTTTTTTTAAAAAAATCTACAACACTCAATAAATAAAGAAGTTTGGCTTATAGATAAAATGAAGAAATAAATTATTGCCCTTCATTATAAGAAAAAAGAAAAGCTTAAAGTTTAAGGTAGTGAAAGACAAATGGAAGCACGGGAATGCTCTCTTCCTCTTGTTTTCCCCCTCTCCTTCTCCAACATCACGAGTAGTTGGTAAGTTCTCTAAACTATGATCCTGTTCTATAATCAATATGAAAATATGGTTGATGTGTGGACACAATTAGATATGATTGGGTAAGACATGTCTTCTCTCACCTTAATGTATTTTGTAGCTTTTTATGGTTGGAAACAAGATTAAATATGATTAGGCGGTACAGTTTCATTATTAAAAATTGCTCATGAAACCATAAATGTTCTACTTCATTATCATTAAACGATAGGGTGGTTGGGAACAACTTGTTTATTGTCATTATGACCCTTTTTCGCTTAAGTTTCTTATATTGTTCATTTGCCTGATGTTATAAATTTGGCTATTATAGTTGTTAACTTATAAAATTGACAATAATATGAGTTGTAAATTTGCAGTAGTGTTGAAGTTCATTTTCATATTGTTGTTTGTAAATGTGTCTACTATAGTTGTTTACATGTCCAATTATAAAGTACTGCTAAATAATTAAATTTGAACGTGTACATATACAAAGATTCATGATAAATGGGTAATTGTTCTGGGAACTAGTTATACTACATTTCCATGTAAAGGGAGAATTTAAAAGTGTGGGTAAAAATATTATTTATAAGGGTGGCATTGTACTTAGATAACTAAATGGGTAATATATGAAAGAGTTAGAATTATTGTAGCAAATGATCTATGTCCTAGATATAAGGATTTTTGCATGAAGTACAAGGTCATGCCAACTGGAACTATATTATTGAATCTTATAAATGATGTTGGAGTAAATCAACTAATTAAGGATAACAAAACCAATGGTCATATATATGTTGCACAACCATCACAATTAGAGTTTCAAGAAAAGTAAGTTGTCAATTTTAATGAAATCATAAATATAGGGAGATAATTTTCCCAACGTTTAAAAGAGTTAATAAGTTTTAATACTCTCTCCATACTAAAATATAGGGAATTAATAACTAATTCATGGTTCTAAAAAAATGTTAGTTAAATCTTAATTTCTTAAAAAAAATTTGCATCTTTTTAATTTTAGAGGAGTAAAATTACTCTTCTATTAGTGTGCCGATTGTTCTTTTGTTTTCTATTTATCTATTATAGCATGGGCCTATTATCTTCTAATTCAGCATCCAACCTATAACTTTGGACTCATCTTTGACACTATAGCTTGGCATCCCATTACTAGCCATGTGGCTCTCCACTAATACATTGCACGCACGTGAGACTTGAAGAAATTAAAAAAAGGGAGGTTTCTTTGATGACCAAAGCTTCTTCTCAACCATGTCTATTCCCATTGGCATGTTCACTCTGTAAACCACCTTAGATTGGCCATGATTGATGATGTTTCTAGGGATTGAATAGCCCTTCTAGTGTCAAGCATGTTCACCAAACCAATTGGAGAAAAATGCACAAACTTCATAGGCAAGACAATCACCAAAGAAATAGTAATGAGCTTGAAGTTAAAGTGCTCAAAGGAAATATCTATCATATCAATTTCATAAGACAAACTCTTGATGCCCTTTGTTGAACCATGGATCTCAAATAATCTCATCTATCATAATTCTTGTTTAGGAATTCTTGTCCAGTAGCCATGATAAGAAGCACGAAAGCTCCTGCGACATCTATCTTGAGAACCAAAACTTCCCTTTGTAAATTTTCTTGTACATGACAGCTAGACTATGGTCATAGAAGGGCAGGTAACCTTGAGGTCCATGTTTTCATTGACCAAGAGGTTGTTGAGCTTGAGCCGCAGTGGAATACACCAAAGGAGTGGCAATATCGAACAATAGAGATTAGTCAATGGAAGTAGCCATGGCTGAGATCTCCAAAGAATTAGCCCTGAGTGACCTTGTTATTAAAGAGCTTTCTGCCCTCGACAAACTCAAGAATGCAATAAAATTTAGTCTTGAAAGCGAGGATTTCAAAGAGCTAGAAGGTGAGGGGATGATGGAGGCAGTACATGATAAAGATTTCCCTCTCAACGTGTACTACGAGACCTGCTCTAAAAACTTAGAGGTTGTTGATAGCTTTGATGGCCAAGCTTTATCCTGTATTCACATTCATTAAGGAAACCTAGAAGGTAGGTATTTCAAATTGTTATGAGAAAGGTCAAGAACTTTCAGCTGTGAAAATCTAAAAATCTCGATCAT